AAAAAAAAAATTCGAAGAAAATCAATATTAATTATAAAATTGTATTACAAATTTTTAATTATTTATTTAAACATTGATTTCATCCATTTTAATGTCATATTTTTAATTTTAACTTTTTTTACAAATATTTATTATTATTATTATTATTATTATTATTATTATTATTATTATTATTATTATTATTATCTGAGCAAGTAGTATACTTTCCTCAAGTATTATTACGTAAAAGAATCTACAATGTTACGATCGACTTCTCTCAATCCTTTCGAAACGAGAAACCGACTTGTGCAATGATAAAACGGAACTATTATATCTCTTTTCTCTCTCTCTCTCTCTCTCTCTCTCTTTCCTTTTATTATTATTATTATTATTATTATTATTATTATTATTATTACTATTCTCGTCATAATCGACGGTCGTTGAGACAGGTCATTGATGATGACTTTACGAATAGATTTTGAAGTATGAAAATATTTTTTTATTCATTTTTTTTCTCTTTTTTTTTTTTCTTTTCTTTTTTTTTTTTTTTCTTAAATCAGATCGTACGACAGATTTTCTTATCTTATGAAAAAAAAAAAAAATGAATAAAATAATGAATAGAAATAATCAAAGAGAGAAAGAAAACAAAGAAGGAAAAACATGTACCATTTTCTTTGATTGTGTTATCGTAAATCGTAAATGTTGACGTGGAAAATTTTGAAATTCGTAATATCTCCTACGTTTTTATATATTTAATTAAATAACAACAACAGCAATATTAATAATAATAATAATAATAATAATAATAATAATAATAATAATAATAATAATAATAATAATAATAATGGACGTGTAAATTATTTCATTTTAACTACAATAATTATTATCTATAACAATAATTATTTTTTTGTCGTACATAATATCATAATAAATATTATTATATTAATTTAATATTATTATATTAATATTAATTATATATATATATTACTATTATTATTATTTATTATCATTGTCATCATCATTATTATTATTATTATTATTATTATTATTATTATTATTATTATTATTATTATGATTATTATTATTAATATTATTATTATGTTGACATTAAAGTTCGAGTCCATAACAGCAGACATAGTTGTTAAGCCGGATTGATATTTACGTGGCATTTTGTTGCAGTCTAGCTTTCGTCATGGCGTTGCTTGCAAGGCCAAAGAATCCATATGAATCTCTGATTGAGATTTATCTTATTAATTCGAAGCATTATGTCTACATATAAATACACATACACATACTCACACACACGCACACACACACACAAAGAGAGAGAAAGAGAGAGAGAGAGAGAGAGAGAGAGGTACGTGCGTTTAAAAATTTAATTAAACAAATTTTTCTTAGATCAAAATCGAATAATTTGATTGATCATTTTAATTATAAACAAATTGATTATTTTAATTGTATAAAGAGATGATCTTAAAAAGTAATTTCTTTTTTTCTTTTCTTCTTTTCATTTCTTTTCTTTTTCTCTTTTCTTTCTTTCTTTCTTTCTTTTCTTTTTTCTTCTTCGTTCTCTATTCTTTTTTTCTTTTTCTTTTTTTTTTTTTTTTTTTTTTTATTTAATTAAAACGAATCCATTCCAATCGCGGCGTAAAAATAAACGAGAAAATTTGCAGCTCGTAAAAAACAAATTTTTTTTTGTATTTTTAATTTTTTTTTTTTTTCTTTTTTCCTTTCTTTTTTTTTTTTTTTTTTTTTTTTTTCGAAATGAAAACAGCGATTAGAGTAGCGCAGAAGTGAAGCGAGGAGACCAATTGGGGATTTAAGGGTTGAGTATGGGTCGTGGAGACGGGGAGGGGCTGGGGAAGGGAAGGTCGGAGTGGAGTGGGGGTAGAAGGATTCGAACGCAAACAAGTAATTAATCACGCTATTAATTACGACATTAATTACGTCACTTTAATTGAATCCGTATGAGCCTAATCAAAGGAGTACGATGGTTACGTAGTGAACGTGCGTGATTTGATTTATATAATTTAAAAGGAAAGAAAAAAAGAAAGAAAAAAAAAAAAGAAAAGAAAAAAAAAAGAATAATAAAAAAAAGAAAGAGAAGAAAAAAGGAAGAAAGATAGAAAGAGTATGATTCGAAAAGTCAATAACAAAATTTGATTCGTATCGTAGA